AGTGAATGCAACACTTCTTCTTATGCTGTTAATGCAAATGGTATTTGATCGAAAGTCGATGTGTCAGAATTTACCCACTTGGTGAATCCGTAAAATGTCTTAGACATATCTTAGACATGTATGGTCAAAGACAGGTAACTTCTTAATATCCTCCACTATCTTCGGCCATGTCTAGCAGCCATATAGCAAGGTCGAGCGAATCGCAGGTATATAGACGCGAACTTTCTTTTTTATAATAATTTCACCATAAGTCCATTAAGATTGCATCAATCGGAAGAAAACATTTGTAACTACCATTATCCTGGCTGTGATTTTGTCTTTCGCTTGGTCATTTAGGATTAAAGTGGATCCGAAGTCTGAACTCTGGAACATTCCATCATCCTCCAAAGCGCTGCTCTATCAATTGAATCGAAGTTTATTCAACAGGGACAAAGCAAAAATTTTCCCGGAAATATCTAATAGGCTAATTCCTCGATAATTATCACAGTATATTCTGTCATCTTTCTTATAAGAATCGCTTTGCTGCAGTCATCTGATATTATTTTTTTTCTCCATACCAGAGAACACATTTGTTGAAGCTATGATATGATTGGCTCGAAGACCGTCTACTTTCTATTCTGAGAGTTTTATTGGCTTTAAATTTTTGGATGACAGATTATTTCTTGTTTTCCTGGCGGTTCGCAGTTACAGGCATATGGCTCGATGAGCTATGCCCGGGACAACAGCTGGCGTAAGCTTGGATTCCACCTTATGTAATCGACGTACAATTATTGTCCCGTATCATTGCACTAATCGTTCCCTGAATTATAGTTGCTTCATGAAGAAGGCAGAATAGTTTCCTATTCTCGCCTAATCGAGCCATCGTCTTCATTCTTAAGGCCAAACTCGTTCCAGTAGCAATTTCTGTCGCGCCATGTCGTCATTGCAATTCTTCGAAGCATCAGGTAGTCAGGATTTCTTAATATTCGTGCTTTGACAGCCTTTTTAGACAGTTGGACAATTGCTTCCGATACCCAATTAACGCATTTCCTACTAATATATCCTAGTGTGGAAGTTACTTTCGAAGTCCTTCTTTCAGTTGAGACCAGTATATATCATCCGCCGTTCCAGAGATATCACTGATGTTTATTTCATTGAGGTGCTTCAATAATTCGGTTTGAAATATGCTCAGTTTCCCCGAATTTTTTTAGTTTGAGATAGTTGAAAGATCATGGGGAATGCTTTTTCTTGCGAGTTGTCAATTTTATACGGCTCGGGTCATGATCAGATCATTGAATTGTTATCATATTTGCTCGTTTCAACGTCGAGATGAATCATCTAGCATGGACTGTTCCAACGGCAATCGAATTATGGAAATATGGTTTTTTTACGAAAGCAAATATTAGTAAAAAGTAAAGTAAAAGTAAAGTAAATCAGGATTAAACTTCTCGGCAAAGCAAAGGAGACGTTCTTCATTGGCACATCGGATCGGCACTGCGATGTCCCAATTACCGAAATTGTCGCGATGGCATCGTGACCTACGTGCGCATTTCTGCTCCGATAATGACCATATCATAATAGAAATTTAGCAAGTGAATTTCCGCCTAGAACTTATCTTTATCACGGTTATCTGCAGACAGTTAGAGCATTTCAAGACCTGGACTTAGAATCACTTGAAAATATAGTTCAAGTGGATTCCTAACAGTCTTCCGGATTTTTGTTATCATAATTTTTTTGATAGTTTTACTTTTTTGAAAGACAACGACAAAAAAAAGAAAAAAATAAGGAAGGACGAAAAATGGACTAGATTATAAACAAAATATTGTATTATAAATATTGTATTGAATATTGTATGTAATATTTTATTATATTGTATGTAATATTGAATATTATATATTTTAATAACTTTTATAACTTAATTGGTTTAATATTTAAATTTTTTGTTTGAAAAAATTTTTAAAGATTTAAGGGAACTTAAGAGAATTGAATTGTTATCAGAAATTGATCACGACTAAATTAATTTATTAATTTATTTATTGGATTAATTTATTGAAACGACCGCTCGCTAACAAAAAATTTTTAATTTTCAATTTTATATTTTATGATATGTTTAATTGTTTTTCTTAAAGAATTGTTTCGTGGCTAAAACTGCTGAGTGGGTTGTTGCTTTTATTTCTGAATGCCAATGCGGTTTTATTTATTACTTGAGTAAATAAATCTTTCATTTAAAAATTCGGGTGATATTGGCGACCCACTTAAAATTTGATCCGACCTGATCCGACAAGCTAGCTAACAGAATTAGTCTAATCATAAATGGTAGGCGCTAGATAAAATGAATAATTTCAGGTTGCTAACTTAAATCAGTTCTTCTTATAAAAATTTATTTTTGGAAGACTTTTTTGAAGTACTTATCTTATTATTTTTATTTGGTCGAAATGGAATTTATTTCAGCATTAAATGAATAATTTCAATATTCTATTCATTTTTATTGTTTTAGGACGGGACGAAAGCATTTACGATTTCACTCTCGGAATACTGCCCAATCTCAAAAATCGTTTGGTCGTCATTCGATTTCATGACTGGGCCTGAATTAAAATTTGTTTGGTTAATAAAATCACCACCTAAACCATTAACATTTGATTCCAATTCAACATCTGATGGTTGTAGCAGTATCTCTTCTTCAGTTTCTAAAGATACAAGCAGCGCAAATTATGAAGAAATAGATGATGTATTAAAAGTAAGTAAAATGTTGCTAACTTAAATCAGTTCTTATAAAAATTTATTTTTGGAAGACTTTTTTGGAGTAATTGTAAAATGTTGCTCCACTAAGGCATAATATCGTGTTTTTGTTGATTTTAAATTTTGAAAATTTAAATTTTTATCTTAATTCAAAAATTGTAAAAAATATTTCTAAGTTCGATTTTATCTTTTTGTATTTGAAAATATCAATATTAATAAAAATATGAAATATGAAAGGTTTTTTTATTGAAATATTTGTTTTTAGAGTCAGTTGGTTATAGGGTCTACACAAGAGCAGGAGATTTGTGTATTCTGTTTACGATTACACAGAAATGATGAATTACTATGTGAATCCTGCGAAGTAAGTTTACACTTTTGGTTTATACAAATACATAAAAATAAAATATTAAAATAATATTAAAAATAAATTTAAATTTAAAAGGAATAAATTTAAAAAGTAATGCGGAGCTAAAATGCCTTTGAAATGAATTTGTAATGAGTTTGTTATGCTGTTTCTAATTTTTTTTTTTGATTTTATTTTTAATTTTAATTTTTTAAAATTCATGTTTCAATTTTAATTTCTCCTGTTTGTAGGTTTCTTCCATTGATGGCGTCCATTTTTCTCGGCATGGACGACTAGTATATTTGGATGAATATATGGTAAATAGTAATTCTACGATTGGGGCAACTTTATCCACTGTAGTCGATGATGATCAGTCCGGATTGAATGTAACCCTTTATAAATCTTTACTTATTATTAGTTTATTGTTTGAATTTGTAATTTGTCCAAAAAAATGAAGTTGATTAATTCAAGACCAGCTGCACCTCAAATTCACAACAAATGGAAAATGATGAACCAAGTTATGGTGGAGTTATTGCCGAAGAAGATAATTGTTTATTAAAGGTTGAGCAGAATAGTGGAAAGGTATTGACCATATAAAAAAATTTTTGAATATTTTGTTGAATTTCATCGAAAATTTATTTTATTATGTTCAGATAACTTTAAAAGAAAAGCATAATGAGGATTCAAAGATGGCCGAAACTACGGAAAGTGCCCAATGTTAGTTTTTTTATTTTGATTATGTTTATTTTCATGATAATTTCATTTCAGTGAATTCTTTTACTAGCCATTTTCAGCAATGATAATCTCAGGGGTTGACTCAGGAATTGGCGAAACGATATCAACACATAGTGATTTTAGTTGCTGTTTCACTGCTCAACATGGTTTATCAGCGGGCACAAAAGTATCACTGAATGGTCAAATATGTAGCAACACTATCTCAACTGATACCAAGGTGTTTTTTCATTTCTTAATTCATCATTGTAGAATTTTGCGTTTAAAATTCATATCGTTTTTATGCAGATGAATAATTTGGTTGATAACAAGGAAACAACTGATGTTAATTTCGTATCTGATGAGTTTGATATAAGTGAGGCAGATGCTGAACGATTGACAACAAATTTAAATGATGAAGAATTTGTGGCTAAATTCGTTTTAGCTGAACAAATTTGCAGGTTTTTAATTGCAACAATTTTGGAAGAATTTTCTTTTAACTTGGATCATCTTTAATTTCTGCGGGATCGTTTTTCTTTGCTTTTTGTTTTTTCTAGCTCTCATCTGCCTTCAAATTCTGTGTTCCATAAATTAACAGTAGTTCCATTACGACGTTTGTTGATTGGTTCTTATATTTTTCCGATAAAAGGAAAACACAAAAGAGATCGACCGATATTTGCGATTTCGCTTTTGACCGATCAGTTTAAGTAAGTTATCTTATTTAATTTTAGAAAAAAGCATGTAATTTATATCGATTTGAATTTTAAATTCTTTTTAGGCATTATCTCACGTATGTTATCAGTTTTAAGTCCATTCTTTTTCAGCCAAGATTGGTATATGCAAAGACAAGAAACATTTGAAAATATGTTTTTAGATATCATTTGCCGGTTAAAAGCAGCTTATACTGTTGTTAGTTTATTGAATTTTATTTTAATTCAATTTTGTTTTTTAAATTTTTTTAGAGAAGAATATTTGAAATTATGAGGAATTGAAATCCATGAGCAAATATTCAAAAAAGCAATGTAGATCCTAGCTTTTTTCATATTAATAAGAAAAGATTACATTTTCCTGAATGAATCTTTGATTGATTATTTTTATTCATTTATTTACAGGAAGGTACTATTGATTTCATTTGCCGAATAACAAATGAAATTTCCTCAATTCTAAGTATACTTTCAGTCTTAGAACGGTATCCTTTGTTTCCAACTGATGAAGATATTAAGGTCTGGGTCTGCTGCTTCCATAAATAATTTTTTTTGAGTAGGAAAATTTCTATGAAGTTTATTAAACCATCGAAATATTTAATTTTTTTTTTTTGAATTCTTACCAAAGATTCGGTTTTAGCTACGGCGAACATTCTTTTTGCTGCTATCTCTCGGTCGAAATAAATTCTTGGCTAAAGCTATCACCGCAGTTCTTCAATGCAAGGGGTACTGTGTTATACTGGGTGATTGTCGTGAAAAAGTCGCAAAAGTATTTTTCATTCATTTGGAATTGTTGTTTTCCTTTCTGGATATTTAATTTTATTTTGTTTTTCCGTTATTGGCTCCATTAAGCCCATTATTATCTGGATTATATGTTTTTTCGTTATTTTTTCCCTTTTTTTTATCTTTTAGTAATATTTATTTGTTTTTATTTATCAGATGATCAGTACACTTAGCCTTTTCATCAATGATGAGTTCAAATGGAGTTGCTTAAAACCGTATAAGCACTTATATTCACCATATATTCGGTTGCAAGCTGTCTTCAGAGTAAATTTTATTGCTTTAAGGCTTATTCACCAGTAAATGCTCCATTTTGGGGCAGTTGTTTAATAGTTTTGTTTTGATCGACTTTTTTCGATTTTAAAATTCGAAATTATAAAGTACTTTCAGAAGTTTTTATGTAATTTTATTAAATTCCTTATTGGAGTAATTCAATGCTTCCAAGTTTTCCAGGATGAGCTTCCAAGGATTATCACGGAAGGCACTGCTTGCCACTGGTGTATGGCTATTATAGATGTGGATAGGCAAATTGTCTGCGTTTCAGCATATCCAAAACACCGATTGATAAAACAAATGAAGCAAAAAGATGATGCGATTCAAGTTTTGTCCACTCTTGGCTTTCCTGTGTCATATGAATGCAATGAAATTAAATTGTATGGCCAGTATTTTATATACACTATATTATTATTATTATTATTTATATATTATTATTATTTAAAGTTTAAATAATTTTCAATGAATTTTCACTACTTTATTAATAATAATTATTTTGAATTAAGGAAAAGATTGAGGCAGATGCTGCTTTTTTGATTTCTCATTTCTCATTTAGAGAGCTTCGAAATTGTATTGCTGATCCATGCGTGCGTGAATTTCTTGCGAAAATGGATCTTCTTCCATTTGATCACGATATGAGGATTGGTTTTATTCGACAGTTTTCGCTCTTTATTGAAAATAAGGCGAAAGCTTTGATAACTTGTTTGCAGGATATTAGGTGCGATATCTTTTTGGGAAATATTGCTTAAAAATTTCTAATTTATTTTACTTTCTAATTAATTTATAGACTAATTCCTTTGAAAATAATAATGATATAATTTTTCACAAAATATTCGCAAAATCTCTCAAATTAATTTCAATTTTTTAGTTTTTAATTTTTTTTTCTTTTTAGCAAGCCAGGCGACGTGGATAAAAGAAGCGCTATTTCTTCCAAATGGAGGTTAAAATCTGTGAGAAAAGCTCTGGATTTGACGGTGGATTCAACATTTTCTGTTGTTGTTGCTGAAGCTGATCGAATTTTGCCCGACATTGCTGAATTCATCTGTCAGTGCCGTGAAATCATGTGAAATGTAAAGCAGGGATTTCACATGATTCAATTTATTTCTGTTATTTCTTAATATTTACAATTTATATTTTTGCATTTTGCCTAATCTTTTCATGACGATCGCTTATTTTTAAAATCTTTTCTATTTTCTGAATTATCTGCTTGTTATTAGTCTCGGCATCTTTAACCCAAAAGAGCTCTGAGGCTATTTCATGGCGACACGGGAATATGAGTTCTCTTGGTTGGGGTTTTTTCACCCACTCGTTTTATTACAAGTTCTCTCGCTATAACCTGCTCTAGGGATCGAATCCTGTTTTAATGCTTCAGTCAAAGTTCAAATTTGTTTATTTTGTTGAGTAGAATGCCAAGTTTAAATTTATTTAAAGTATTTATTTATTCAATTTTTTCTTAAATTTAATGGAATTCACAAATATATTTTTAGATCACTTTTTAGTCTATACAGCTGGACTATTTAATTTTTTCACCTTTTTGCATGAGTGATATTTATTTAAATTATTCAACTTTGTGCCTTAAATAAGATGTTTAGAAGAACGGTGTGAAGTGTATGAATTTTCAATAAAGGCATACATATCGAATTTTAAGAGTTTGCATTAGCATTATTGGTGCCTTAAATTTTTTTCCAGAAATTTATTTATTTTTTTGCGTAATACTTTTATTAATTTTCATAAATCAATGTCTTCCATGATACTATTTGCTTATCACCATAATTTTCAAGAAAAAATTGTTTTTTTCATTGTTTCAGAAGAGATTAAGCGAACAACACTTTTTGACAGTCAAATTTTTTTACATATAATCTGAATGAGCCACTGAAATTGAGCAATCACTAGTGAGAATATTCCCTCCAAACAAAAGCCACTGATTGCGGGAAAATGTTTTGTTGTCACAAGAAGAATTGTAATGATTTATAAATTCATTCACCATATGAGCATTTTGGAATTGTACATAGTATCTCAGAAAAGAATATTAGATGCTTAATTCACAAATATACAAGAATATTAGATGCTTGCTTGTGATTAAGAAAATCTGCAAAATAATACAATTATACAAATAATCCAAAATAAAATTTCACGTAGCAAAATTTGTTTTTAAACTTTCCATTTCATTTATTTACTTCTTAGTTGATTTTCCGGAAGGTAGTTATTGTTGCGAATTTAGATGAATTTCGCTTAGCATTCAAAATCGAAAAAGTCAAATAAGTGTTTAAAAATGTTGGTATTGGGATTCTACCACAATGTCGATTTTTTAATGGCAGATTTGTTCCTATCGTAGATGGAATTTGAACCTTAGCATTTGGGACGATGAACAACGATCACTTTAGCCATTCGTTTTTTAAGATTATCACCTTATTTAAATAAATATAAACGACAATTTTCTGATTATTGTAATGGCTATGCTATTGTAAAAGTTGAATTGTTCAATGCGGACCTATGAGAATTTTTATTTAAATTTTCTCATTTAAAGGGGAAATAATTTGGAATTTTTGAACCGATTTTTAATAAAAAATGAAAAAAACAATATAATAAAATTTAAAAAGTTCAGAGTATTTTAGCAAAATTTTTTTTTTAGAATTGCTTGAAATTTTTTTTTAATCTTATTTTTCCATATATTTTCAAATAGATATAAAAAAAATTTCTTAGTTCGATAAAATTGGTACTTTATTTTGTTTTGTTTTATGTCCGATCTTTATTCTAATTATTTTATTAATTATTATTATTAATTTTAATTCTAATTTTGAATTGATTTGTTAAAATATAAAAATGAGTCGGTTTGATGCTGATTTTTATTTTAGCATCGGAAATGAATTCCAATCACGCATGTTTAATTTTTAATTAGAGGTTAAGGTTGATTCAACTAATGGTTAAGGGCAGAACTATGATGCTTGAATTGTTAGTGTAAGCAACCCACTTGGCCATGTCCGGTGGCTACGATTAGAAATTTTTGCCAAGAAATCACCTGGCGATGGAAATAGAGATGGTCACCAACACCACTCCGAATTTTCATTAACAAGTTTACTTCTGTCAGGCCCACTTCATAACATGTTAGCCTCAATCGCTATCAGCTAGGCTATTGTGCCGCATTAAACTGCATTATTTTCCGTTCTCAAGCTAATCATTAATTTATACGGTTGGATTTTGATGTTTTCATTTATTTTTGATCTTAACATGATTTAAAAAAGAAAAAAGAAAAAGAAATTTATAAAGAAAAAATAAATTTATAAATTTGCGAAAAATAACCTTTTCTTACAATTTCGCCATAATGATATTAATGATAAATGAGGCAATAGACCGAGAATATAAGAAATAATTTCGCCTCTGCATTATACTCAGAAAATTACTGATTCTGGTAATCTCAATTTGGGGACCAACTAAGGCAAATAATCGCTAAATCTGCAAGAACTCTTTTTAAGCCAGTTTTTTTTGTTTTGCGATCGCTACAATGACCAATTTTCGACAAGTTTACTTCTATATTTTTGAATCTTTCCTATGGCATAGCGCTCAGCAATTCTGGTTTCATTAACTAGTGTGGTTCAGAAACTTTTGTCGCAAAAGGCGAACACGAAAAAAAAAACAAATTAAATTTCTCAAATAAATTGAATCAGCATACTAATCTTAAATTCCATTTCCTCTTTTATGTCCAAGAAAAAAACCTAATTTATCATACAAAATCTCACATCTACATAGTTCAAACATAGTTTTTATTACACACATCTGTTAATTATGCGCTGCATGCTGCATGCTATTCACACCTAAGTGTTTTTTTTATTAATGGAAATGATATATATATATATATATTTTTCTCTTTAACCTTATTATTTATAAATTTATAGTATAATAAATTATAGAATGCTTTATAGTATAATAAAGATAAGAAATTCATAGCCTGCTTGGGCAAGCCATTAGACCAGCAACTGTGAACCGCATCACTTCCGTTTTAAGTCACTTTCCCCTGTTCAACCTCATATACTAAATCTCGCCAATACCTTCCCAATAGCCTCAGTGCTCCACAACAACTTTTGCCATGAGGCCATTTGGCTGGAAAGTATTTTTAATTTGCATTCACCATCATTCAGCACTCACCATCTCCCACTCGTGACATCAGCAAAATTTCTTTTTCTTAATGACAGGATTGTACAATTCTGACAGGAACCGAATCCTTGCCTTACAATGTGATCATTACCCATTCATATCATTTTACATATCAATATCCTGAATCATTATCCATTCATCAAAACGAGGCGATGAAATTAAGTTCCTGAGTTACAAATAACTACAATAAATTGATCTCTGTGACAAAAAACGGATTATTTTAATAATCGTGTTAACAAATCGTGTTAAAAAAGGTTTTGTTAAATAGTCTAAAATAAATTTCTAATGTAATTAAATTTCATTAATTAAGGGCAAACTTCCTTCAAAGTCACTGAATCATCAGAAGTAAGAAAACTCATTGAAAAATATTCATCGAGAAATTTTCTTAAAACTAAACTAATAAGATAAAATATATGATAATCGCTTCATCGAAAAGCATTCTATGATTTCATTTTTTCCTAAATTCTCCTGAATAATTCTTTGGGTTGCGACCTGTATGCTTTATGAGCACTTTGTAAGCGCAGCAAAATGCTGGCTATAGCTGCTTTGGCCGTCAGAATGCTTAAGGTCACTATCCACAATCTTTCTATATATCATGTGGATATGGCTTGTTTGTCGGAGAACCGTCTTCCTCATGTCGGCTCTCGAGTAATTATTAAATTTGGTTCCTAGCAAAGATATTGGCTAAATCATTGCGATGCCTCGGATAACTCGCGAGCAAAATGGCGTAATATCTGAAAAGCTCAATCCGCTCTGATTGAATGGAAGTCAATAAACGACCGTATGGCCAATATCTGGGCCTTTCAAAGAAATATTTGTTCTGCAATATTTCGGTTATCAGTGTATATGCTCCAACTTTATGCGCAGATGACCGCGATAAGGGCATCTTCTATGCGGAGCTTCGACTATTAACAATACCTCTATCGAGAGGTGGCAAGGTCATAATCGAGGAAGACTGGAATGCGAGTAAATTATGATGCCGTTATGATTAATTGGCAATGTCATCGGGGTCCGATGCGCCAATGAAGAACGCCTTCTTCGCTTTGCCGAATAGCATGAGCTCATGACTTTCGGCATCAGAAAAGACATTTAGTCACGTAAAATTCTCCGGACCAATATTCCAATCAGATTGATTGACACATTGGTCAGTCGCCACTGGAAGAGTTCTATGCTTGATAATCGTTCTTATCGGGGCGCTGAAACTGGTAACCGACATGGATCAGACTACGCTATAGTTCGAGTCAAGATTTGCATAAAAGTCGTTGGAAACAAAGCATCTCAAAGTCTTTCAATTATCTCAAATTGAAAGATCCGGGAACAATAAACGCATTTCAAACCGTATTATCGAAATACTTTAATGAAATGAACGTCAATGATATCTCTGGAACGGCAAATGAATACTGGTCCGAACTGAATATATGCTTATGAAAATTACGAAAATTACGAAAATTAGCCACTTTTATACTATGGTATAGGAAATGCGCTAGTTGCGTGTCGGAAGCAACCATCCAACTATCTGAAAAAACCTCCAAAGCACAAAATGTCAGGAGATCCTTTCTTGTGTTTAGAAAAATTACAACAACAGCAAACACGGCGGAATAGAAATCGCTACTGGAGTGATATGGTTTTGAAAATGGAGACGATGGCTCGGTTAGGTGATAATAGAAAACTGTTTCACCTTCTTCACAAAGCAACTATAACTTGAGAAAGGTCAGTAAAATCAGTAAAATGATAAAAAATATTAATGGGGCGCATGCTAAAGTTATTAAGGATCGCCTGATAAAATGGAAAGAATTTTCTGAGGCCAAACTTAACCATGATGCGCATCTATTATTCCAGATATAACTAATTCTCACGATACGTCTGCAACTGTAAATTACCAACAGAAAAGAAAATAATCTCTGCAATCCACAAGCTTAAGGCCATTGAAATTACCAATGAAGATGGTCTTCGGCTAAACCATTCAAGTCGTTTATCATCATTCACAACTCACCTTCAACAATGCTCTCTGGTATGGCAAAAAGACTCATTGCCAGCTGACGAAGTGCTCTTGGGTCCACTCTAATAACGAATTGCCAGGCAAGAGAGTGGACTACTCCTTCAACCATCAATCTTTGACCACTCATGTCTAAGATATATTTTACGAGTCCGTCGAGCGGATAAAATCGCACATATATCCATGAATTATATCCATCTTCGTTCAAATACCAGCTGTATTAATAAAGTTGTCATAGCATCGCCTTTGCCGGTTAGAGCACGTTCTCCATCGTCCACTACAAGAGTTGTCGCATATTTCGTTACTTGTTTGATGGTTGGCGTCAAAAGCGAGGAGAGACAATTAAGATCTGGTCTGATACAGGAAATATTTTGAAGGCATAGAAAGACCAGTGATATATGAACTTGGACTTCTATTATTATTAGCAATGGTGTGGGACCGAGCAGCTTGGAGACGTCTCACCCTTCGTAGCCTAACCAGTAATGATGAGAGTTGTTAGAAAAAGATTTATTATAACGATTATAATTATATTATAATTCTTGTTATCACCGTTAACAAATTTAATTTCTTATTACTTATAGTCAACTACTGTTACTCTTAACTCTTAATATTATTACTTTTAACATTACTTTTATTAATGGTGCCAGTGGCGATAAGTAAGGCGAAATCA